ACAGAAATTTTGGGCCCAGTTGTGCTTGTAAATCAAGGACTATCTATACAGTAAATCTAACTAAAAAGAGAAAAAGGGCAATTCTGACATGCTGCAATTTGGAGTAGTCAAACCCTCTCAATCAATCAATCAATCAATCAATCAATCAATCAGCATAGAGCTGGAAGAGACTTTAGAGGTCTTATAGTCCAACCCCCTGATCAAGCAGGAGTCCCTATACCAGGGGTAGGTAACTTTGGCTCTTTTATGATTTGTAGACTTCAATTCCCAGAATTCCTGAGTCAGCCATGCTGGCTTAGGAATTCTGGGAGTTGAAGTCCACAAGTCATAAAAGAGCTAAGGTTGCCTACCCCTGCCCTATACCATTTCAGACACGTGACTGTCCAGTCTCTATCTACACCTAAAACAGGTGACTGTCCAGTCTCTTTCTACACCTATCTTAAAAACTGCCCTGACAGTCATGAAAAAAATGGGGAAGGCTTAATTTAAATACTTGTTTGAAATTAAGATTGAAGTCAAATATGATGTTTGAGCCCAGGAGGAAATAATTCATAATGAAGCTCCTGACCAGCGAAAGTCTATAGCAGGGATCTTCAAATTTGGCTCTTTTATGACTTGTGGACTTCAGCTCCCAGAATCCCTCAATCAGGCATGCTGGCTGAGGAATTCTGGGAGTTGAAGTCCACAAGTCATAAAAGGACCAAGTTTGAAGACCCCTGGTCTATAGCAATTTAAAGCTATTTATATTTGATGTTCAGGGACTGTCTGCAACTGTAAAGGCACCAGTAAAGAAATGGGAAACATCTCCATATAATGAGGCTGTATGAGATTTACAACCTCTCTTATATTTTGGTAGGGGGGCAATTTGGTGTCGCCATAACAAGCATCCCTGAAGCATATCATAAACACAGACTGTATCATCCTAAGATTAGCATCAGCGTTTGCAAGTGCCGTTAACATTTAGATGCAAGGTTTGGATAAAGCAATTGCATTTTTTATGGCTCTGCCTGAGATTTTATTGTGTACCCTATTTACTGGCTTCCAGTTCACTGCCTTTGATTGTTTGTTTATCCTTGGAACAATTGTAAAAACATTTTCCTAAATTTCCTCTGTATAAAAAGCAGACGGTGCTGTAAACTCCTTGTACAACTAGGAGAAGACATTCTGATAATCTCCTGAAATGATAAGAAATGTCTTGAGGGTGGTGCCGAGGGTCTGTGAAATTACAGGCGTGTGTGTGTGTGTGTGTGTGTGTGTAATTATATGTCCATCTACGGCAGGGGTGTCAAACTCAATTTCACTGAGGTCCACATCAACATTGCGGTTGCCCTGGGGGGGCTGGGTGGGTGTGGCCAGAGTGGGTGCAGCCTACTGGGTGGGTGTGGCCACCTCTACATCATTCGCGGCAAGGTGCCTGTGGGGGCCTGGGCAGGAATGGGACAGATCTGAGGGTCTCTGGCAGAAGGGGGTGGGACCAGGGCAAGTGCCAAGGCATGGTCCACGGGGGCAAGTGCCAAGATGGCCACCACAAAATTGTACATTGGCTCCTGGCTGGCCTGGGCCAGGGTCGTTCCCTCACTGTTTCCAGGATGGCTTTGCGGGCCGCATCTGGCCCCCAGGCCTTGTGTTTGACATTTCTGATCTACGGATACCTGCATAAGTATCTAATCATCTTAACTTCTGCACTCTTTTAAAACAGGACTGTTCAACCTAATTTATTAATTTAACCACTGCAGCATTCACTTAATAACTGTGGTAAGAAAGGTCGTAACATGGGGAAAAACTCATTTCACGAATGTCTCACTTAGCAACATAAAGTCTGGGCTCAAATCCAAGGACTACAAATATATTGCATTTCCTTTTCGGTGAAAAGTTGCTGCCACATTTCCCCGTTGACGATCACATTAGCCTCCTGTGCGGGATAAATTTGCAAGGTACATTGGAAATTGTGTGTGTCAGTGAAGAGGGAGGAGGACATATATCTTTGCAGGTTTCATTTATGAAAACAGTTCATGAGACTGCATAGGCTGGGACACTTTGTTGTTAGTTGCGAAGTTGTGTCCGACCCATTGTGACCCCATGGACAACGTTCCTCCAGGCCTTCCTGTCCTCTACCATCTTCTGGAGTCCATTTAAGTTCACGCCTACTGCTTCAGTGACTGCATCCAGCCACCTCATTCTCTGTCATCCCCTTCTTCTGTTGCCCTCCATCTTTCCCAGCATCAGGCTCTTCTCCAGGGAGTCCTTCCTTCTCATTAGGTGGCCAAAGTATTTGAGTTTCAACTTCAGGATCTGGCCTTCTAAAGAGCAGTCAGGGTTGATCTCTTCTAGGATTGACCAGTTTGAATGCCTTGCAGTCCAGGGGACTCGCAGGAGTCTTCTCCAGCACCATAGTTCAAAGGCCTCAATTCTTTGGCGCTCAGCCTTTCTTATGGTCCAACTTTCACAGCCATACATTGCAAATGGGAAAACCATGGCCTTGACTATATGTACTATTGTTGGCAAGGTGATGTCTCTGCTTTTTAGTATGCTGTCTAGATTTGTCATAGCTTTCCTTGAATCCTATGCCACTCCCTTGCCTGATTTGCTGCCCCTCCTACGGGGGGGGGGTGTTAATGGGAAAAAGTTGAGAAAAGCAAAAGCAGTTTCAATTTGGGGGGGGGCAGGTTTGTTTTATCATGGAAACATGATAAACATTATCATGTCTGTAGTCCTCCTTTAAAATACAGCTTAAATGTTGTTGTAGTAGGGGAAAACAGTTGAAAAAGATTTAATAGCACTTCTTTCAGACCAAATGTTGCAACTGACTGTACATTTCAACACGCAGAGATTTCAGCAATCAGGTGACTAGGCTTTTGTACATGCCTCCACACTCTGGAAGGATGCTTCTTGATGAAGGTGCTTCATTTATGATAAAAGTATGGCCATAGCGATGCAAATTACTTTTTCAATTAAAGTTCATAGTACTTATCTTTTTGTAGACTTCCATGCCCCTCCCTAGTTTTGCAGGTCACTTGGGCCCCTGTAAGTTGTATGACCTTTACAATACAGATCTATTGCAAAACATGTCTTTTGTATGTGACCAAGAAATAATTTATTATATGACATATTTTGTCATTCTTTGCTGATATGCCTTGTAATAGCAATAGTACTTAGACTTTGTGAGAAGAATCCAGAGAAAAATATATTGGGAAATATTAAAAAGGCAAAATATATTTCTCCAAAGGAATAATGAAGAAGATCTTTAAAAGGCAGAAACTTCTCCTTCCCCCCAGCCAGAAAACTCAGCAGAACCAGCTTTTAGAAATGCAGTTTTAATAATCCATTCAGGAAGGTTAGAGCCAGAAAGCTAGAAGCTATGAGATTAGGAAGACAAAGACCTCTAAAAATCTACATACTGCACCCAAACTCTAAAAGACATGACCTTTGGGGACATAATAGGATTAACCCACCAATACCAAAAGGGCACACTCAGACTCAGGTCAAAGTACATGACCCAGGAAATACAAAACCTCAGACAGGAACAGGAAACAACCTCAAGAGCCCCAGAAGGTATAAAAGTCCACCACTTCCAGCAACATGTGGTCAGCTTTCCCAGAGCCACACTTCTGACTTGCCCTTCAATAAACTCCAACCTTCTTTCTAAAGCAGTCTCCATTTTGTTTATTCCCAGCTTGGACTGGACCCTGATGAAGACTTTTCTTTCTACAGCTTGTATACCTCTTCACAGTGCTTTACAGCCCTAAGTGGTTTACAGAGTCAGTATATTGCCAACAATTTTGGTCCCCATTTTACTGACTTCCGAAGGATGGAAGGCTGAAATCAACCTTGAGCCGGTCACAATTGAACTCCTGGCAGTGAACAGTGAGTTAGCTTGCAATACTACCGTACATTCTAACCACTGTGCCACCATATACCTTGGCTCATAACTTTAAAAATGAAATCTTGCACATTAATAAAAGTATTGCATTAATATGAATTTAGAAAGATTTACTGTAAAAAGGCACAATTTATTTTGGGGTCAACAGTATCTCCTTATGAAATAGCTTACTAGATACTAAAGCAGATAGGTGGTCAGGGAATCTCACATGCACATCTGGGCAGAAACAAAGTCATGGGCAATCACAAAAAGACCTTCCAACAATTGTAATCATTCATTTCAAGAGAAGCAATCCTTCACTGCATTTAATTTATGGCAGATTAAATAAAGTATAATTTTTTTCTCATTCTTTTTCAAGACTGGTCCCAATATGCTAAGCAGAATATTGTATGATGTCACAAAACACATGTATCTTGGGCTTAAGCCATGTATTCTTACTCGTAGCCCAGTTTATCCGAAAACATGAAGTGGCTCATCTTTATTCCGATCCTCTTTTGCAGGGATCCGTTAATGCTTTCACATCCTTATTTGCCTTTTCCTTAAAGCTCTCACTAGTAGTCCACATTTATGGTTTAAATTTCTTTAGCATGCCTCACCTGCTCAACATTCACTAAAAGGTAACCTGTCCGGCTGGTATAGAAAACAAAGTTAGGCAGACTTCAGGCAAAAAATATTCCCATTAAAAGTTGTTTTTTTTATTAGCCAGCTCTCTGCTCAATCCCCTTGAAATTTGCTCATCAAATCTTCCTTTATAAGCAATAAGCTCATATAGCAGAATATGTTGGTGGAATCAGATTTGCAGAATTAGCAATAGCATTTAATGCTCCCCTTCTAATCTTTTAATTAGACAGCTCCAGCCCAAACCACCTCCACCCCAATTCTTAAATATGCATTGATGTCAGCCAGCTTTCCAATATGCTGGACTTCAACTGCATTGTTGCCAATTAATGTTTTTAATAATCAACTGGCTGGGGGGAATGTGTTAACTGAAGCGCAGCATATTTGAAGGGCCATCCCATAATGGTAAGAAGTCTCCAGAAGCACTAATACTCAGCCAAAAAAAATCTCTCCAATTTTTCCCAACCTGATCTAGCATTTACATCTTAAATAGACAGCAGGATTTCCAAAGGTTAGTCTTGTTTTATTTGTATCTTTTCCATTCCTTCAGAGCTATACAGCTTGCCTCACAACAGCCCTGTGAGGTAGGTTATGTACAGAGATAAAGACTTGCTCAACAGCAATCATGGCAGTGTGGATTAGATTGCATAAATAATGAAAGAAATCAATGATACTGCTAGTTTTGAGGGAAATCCAAAACAGATTATTAGCTTAACTTGAAGACTTACAATTGCAAGTTTGAATTTTCAAGAACTTCTTAGGCATGATTGATATAATTTCACTATTTAAGATGATCACCAGGCTTTGCTACTCGTAAGAGATGCCTTGTGGCTTTTCTTATTTCTATTGACTAAAGTTTCTGCATCTCACAGAAATGGGAAAGGTTTTTCATTTTAACTAATGAAATTCCTATTTTCAAAAATGAGAACTTAATTGATTCTTTCCTGGAATATCTGTATTTGATACAATCAATATCGGTTTAAAGACTCTCCCATATTCTTGGTGTAACGTCATGCTAACGTTCTTCAGATTTCTCTCCCTATTTTTCCTTTCTTGCCTTACAAAAAGTCTTGGAAATTCAGACTTCAAAGGTCCCAATTAAGATATTGATTTACAGATATCAAAGACACGTATAGGGTGACTGACATTTAAATGCAAATGCATATTTAAAATGTTCAAGTAGTTCTGAGAAAGGCTTTCATACTGAGGTTCATATTAAACATTTTGCAGAGGCAAGCTTAAGTATCTGCCACTGATAATAGAGAAGAGCATGTGGATGTATAGCCTGTTTCCCTTTCTACTGCACCATGGACATCAACCTGCAAAACAGCAACATGACCCTTTGCCCTAATAATACAGGTTTGCAATTAGATTCAGGCACCCGGAAGCTGATTCAGTTTACAAATATGATTTGGCAGGATCTCTCCAATCACCATGATACACTTCAAATGAATAGCACAAACTCCAAACAAGGCACAGCTTATCCCAGCCACTGCTGTGCCTGCTTTACTGTTCACATCAATGAGACCCATTTCATTTGCAAGAATATACCAATGTCTTCTTCTGCAGCAAAACAGTTTATATGGCTTTCAGACATTGTCAGAAGTAAATTTACACTGGCTGTGGCTTTTCTTGTGCAATATGTCCAATGCCTTCACCTTTATATATAAGTATTCCCAAAGTCTCCTAAAAGAATGTGCACCCAATACGTAGACTGTTCCTTTCAGATAGCTGGCTTGTTCCTTAGATGCATTTATTTTCGGCTGAGCTAGAGCAATAATGTTGACATCAGCACCTTCTGGTGGAAATATTACACAAAATAGGTTTGTATGTTGTGGCTTTTTAAGTCATTCTGGATCTTAGTAAGGAGCAACAGATGCTGACAAAAAGGTAAAGGCAGTGATTTTATTAGTTTTTAGCCAGCAATGCTCTGAGGAAGTGGTTTCAATTTTTCATAGCATATCAAATCATCTTCTGGCTCAGTCTGCCCAACTCTGCAAAGCTGAACAGAGTTGGTGGAAACTAACTAGATCCAGACATCCAGGGCTGTCTCATCAGTGTCAATTCATTCAGCTCATAGGTCCCTCTTGTAGGTCAGTTGAAGGCAAAGACAAAACAGTAGTTGTTTCCACTTACGCAAATTACCTAGGAGGTACACAGGGATATTTCTTAAGGCTGCCACATTCTTGGCATTCTGCTAGGCCCAAATTTTCTACAACCCACTTAGAATCAGAAACTTAATACAATTCAAATCTCAGAGGTCACAAAAGAGAAGTTGCACTGAAAAAGTAAGTCAATTATTTTCTCTTCCTCTCTTCCCCCACTTCCATATATATATATAAAAGCAGAACTACATATTATTAGGGTTCTTCAAGATAGGATCAATGTTCGAGATGTGTGATTATGTTTCAAAACACCCAGGACTTGGCGAGCTTTGTCTTGCATGATTAGCTGATCTTTGGAACCACCACAAGCCACAGTTCTCCAAGCATTGGACATCTACAAAACAGAGAATACAAAGACATCCATTGTACATGCATCTAAATCAGTGGTTCTCAACCTTTTTAATGCCGCGACCCCCAACCGGTCGTAAGTTGAGACTACTCAACCGGTCGTAAGTCGAGGACTACTCAACTGGTGCAGCACCATTTGCAGAATGGGACTTTTGGCGGGCTCAGCAGGGCAGAAACAGCCTGGACAATTCCTATTGGCTTTTGAAAGCCAATAGAATTAGACTCTATTCAAGAGAGTCTATTCTATTGGCTTTCAAAAGCCAATAGAATAAAAGGGAGTAGCACAGCTAAGGAAAAGGGGGAAAAAATGGCGGACTGCATTGTTTGGCGACCCCCGTGAAATGGTCGTTCGACCCCAAATGGGGTCCCGACCCACAGGTTGAGAACCACTGATCTAAATGAATACAGATTTGCAAAAGACTTAATTTAATGTGGTATGAGATTCCAACCAATTATGGATTATCAACAGACTGCAAAATTAAGTTGATCACAGCTACATAGAATTTGTAAATGTCCCAAAATGATGTTATTTCAACATATCCTTATTTCTCTAGCAGATAATAGCAAATAAATTTAAAAAATACATTGAGAATGTAACTGCCTGCTTAAAGAAATAAAATGGTTATTTTTTCCTACAGAAACTGACTGAAGAACCTTTGGAATATTTCCATTTTTAATAGGTTATCACACAACAGATTTCAAACCAGACCACACACATCAAAATGGCAGGAGAATGAAGCTTATGGAATACACAGTGGTGTAGAATAAAAACAAAGCAATGCATTTGTAATTGACAGACATGAAATTATTAAACAGGAAGACAGAATTTTTGCCGTGGAATTTTTGCCCAGTGGCAACCATTATATTGTATAGTAAAATAAATTACTTAAAAAATAATGGCTAACCAAACTTTATAATCAGTTTCCAAGTGCAAAAGTTGGTTGACACAATGACAAACTGCTTCCACATTGTGGTATAGAAAACTTCAAGGCCTCAGGAGACAAGCTAAACCTGACTGAAAGGTGACTTTACTCTTGATTCATAAATTTAGAGATGGATCTTATAATCGTATAAGTTGCTAGGAGCATAGTACAGATTTTAGCATCCCATTTTTCAAATCCCTAAGATTGTGGCATCTAGCAATGTCCATGACTACCTATACTTACCAAAGTTGGTACCCTGAATTTACTTTGGTTTCTTCTGGAAGATGGAACCTTGTCAGCCTTTATGTGCACAAATCCTCTGTTGAGTAAACTGTTGTCATTCTTGCTGCTTGACAAGGAAAAGTTTAGGGACTGCAAAGAAAATTCAAATATCAGTCAACCAATGAGAAAAGCAAGTTGCCATGAAACATACTTACTGATTTCTTTCCAAGCCATTCCTATTAATACATTATAAAGCAAGCAGAAAGCGTGCATTTAATGTAAACAGGAAAAATGTTTTATTTGTAATACTTTACTGTGTTCAAAGCAATAATTCATCAGCATACAGATAGTGCTTGACTTACAACCATTCATTGAGTGACCATTCAAAATTTGAATGGTACTAGAAAAAGGGACTTACGATCATTTTTCATACTGATGACCATTGCAGCATCCAATTGGTCACGTGATCAAAATTTGGACACCTGGCAACTGGCATGTATTTATGATGGCTGCAGTCTCCCAGGGTCATGTGATCAAGTTCTGCAACCTTCTGACAAGCTAAGTCAATGGGGAAGCCAGATTCACTTAACAACTGTATTACTAACTAAAGTGCAGTGATTCAGTTAGCAACTGTGGCAAGAAAGGTCATAAAATTGGCCAAACCTCACTTAACAACTGTCTTGCTTAGCAACAGAAAAGTTGGGCTCAATTGTAGTCATAGGTCAAGGACTACCTTATCTACAAGAATAAGAAATTTCATAACAATTATTGCTAAGTAATGCAAAAGATCACATTTGTGCTTTATGTCAGTTTGTTAACTATGGAGATCAATTATCACCAAAGCTATGCAACAGTACTAATGAACATAATAACATAAACACTACTTATTACCATAATTCAGAATAAATAATCACTCTCCCTAGAAAACTTCACCACATTGGTTGCCTGGGAATCATAAAAGTAGCAGGCTATGTCTTCCTAGTTTAGCAATTCATAAGACAGCCCGGGCTGAGTAACTGTAGTATGCACTTGTATCTCCAGCTTTAAAAACTAGTGTAATCAAATGTATTAATATGTTGCTGAAAAGGGCACAATAATGCATTTGTTTAACTTGTATACTGCTTTAATTGAACAGTTTTTTCCCCATCCAACAGCCCCAAGGACCAAGTCAAGATCCCATCTCCCATTCGATCCAGAGTGGAGATAATTCACCTGTGCTGGCAGATTACCACACCTAGCAGCTTAATATAGATTTTAAATGAAATGGGAAAGAAAGCTAACCTCTGGTCTACCAATATACTGGAATATCTAAGGGTTTGGCCTCTTCTCCCCCACAGCTTCTTAAATGGCCTATTTAAGAAGAAATGAAAGCACTACAACATTGTGCCTTGAACACCCAATCCTTGCAGGCAATCCAAAAGTATGCTGTGGTTGATGGCACCAAAAGCTATTGGGAAATCAAGCAGCATAAAGAAGATTACACAGAGCACACAAGTCTCATCACAGCTGAACCTTGTGAGATGCCAATGCCCATGCCCATGCCTGAGAAAACCTAAATATTTCTACTTCCCCCAGGTTCTTCTATAAGTACCGTATCACTTTCTACACAACCTTCTCTCCAAAAGGGAAGCTGCTGCCTTATTAAAAATAATGAATTGAATGCTTGTGTTCCAAGGAAATTTTTGATCAAAATTTGGACATTTTGCTATTTTAATGAAGTTCCACAATCATTTTTCTTCAATACCATTAACATTTGCCTATTCTACTCTTGAATCTGCAATCTCCCACCTCATTTTTTTCCTACCCAGAATGTGTTTCTTATATTTTTGTCTGCAATAAAATTGAGCCACTTATCTGCAGGCTGAGAGATGTAGTTGCTAAAAGCAGCATGGGCCCAACACAGCTTTCCTGAAACTCTATGAGGCCAACTATTTTGCAAGATGGATGATAATAAGCTGCTGCCTTCTAATTTATAGCATTATAGAAAAGCACATTAACAAGTCAAGTATCAATTATTACATCAGAATTAATGGTGCACAAATAAACAGTAATTATTTTTTAAAAAAAAATCATATGGGAGTTTGTTGTATTTTATTGTTTGTTTAAAAAAATACAGTTTCAAGGTAATTCATTAGCACAGACAGATAATACCTAACAGTTCTCACTAATATGCTTAAGTGCTCTTACAGAAATTGTTATCAGAAGGAAATGTTTCAATACCATTTCTGGCACTGAAAATTGCAGGGAAACACAATGCACTGGTAAAGTACAAGCAACTGCTACAAGAATCAAAAACTTATCAATTCTCAAAGTACCTAAAAAAAGGGCAACTTTTAAAAAAAGGGGGTAGCTCTTCTTCATGAAATGTTGCCAGGTTTTATGTAAAATAGAGGTCTTTTGCCACTATTTGCAAAAAACCAGAATGGAAAACATTAAGAGTTCCTAAAGCTAAATCTCTGTCTCGGGAAACAGGAAGGGTTTAAAATGTGTGCATATGATTACACCTATACATGTACAACAGAGATCAGTTGTGTAAGAACGTATGAAATTGCCTTCTGGAGGAACAAAGACTGGGGAGAGACCAACTTTCCTATTGCAATGAAAGAATATTGTAGCAAGCAAGTAAGCAGAGATATTTTAAAATTGTTACCAGCTACCAACTTACTCTCCAGGGGATCACAGCTCACCTGAGTTCTTTTGAAGCAAATAGGATTGGCCACAGAGGAAACAGTCAGCTTCAAGTCTTCATCAATAACGTCCAAAGCAAGGGATTTCCTGACCTTCTTAATTGGACTCCTGTGCAACTGAAAAAGGAACGGAATCATGATATTTAGGCTTTAACAAGGAAAAATAAAACAAAAGGAAAAAGTCAGGCACCAAGTTATGTCAGATTCTAAATCTCACTTGTAGCGAATTATTGCAGAAACCTAAACAATTTGGACATGAATTAAGTTTTGGAGAATTAATTTATTTGCACATTATCACTAAGATCCTTTCAATGCCCGTGGGAGGCAAAACAAACCCAACGCTAATAAGATTTTCTGAGAAATAACAGCATGCCGAAGAAGTACAATAATAAGTCAAGCAAACCACGAAGATTAATGTAAAGCCTGCCAGCTCCAGCATAAATTACAAATGGACAAAACATAACAAGACTTGTTCAACGGACGTAAACTGAGGACTAATTGCTACAATTTAGAATTCCTGAAATTCTAAAATAGCCAATCATAATGCATACCTTTTGCAAATTCCAAACAAGTCACATACTCGGTGACATCTCAAGGGCTACCAGATTTACAAATTGCACTCCTATATCAGTTTTTATAACACAGATTAAAAAAAAGATATAACCTAGTTCAAAAATACTTGGGGCATAATAGATTGATATATTTTATAACATAGTTTTCTTTTCCCCTTTGGCTGATCTTCAGGTAACTAAGAATCCTGTGATGCCTTAAAGCAGTGTTTCTCAACCTTGACAATTTTAAGGCATGTGGACTTCAACTCCCAGAATTCCACAGCCAGCAATGCTGGCTGTGGAATTCTGGGAGTTGAAGTCCACATGCCTTAAAATTGTCAAGGTTGAGAAACACTGCCTTAAAGTAATTTGCCAAGTACAACTCATTTTCACATGTGAAATGCAGCTACGAGAGAGCTAGCACAACTAATTTGCTCACAGAACATGCATTCTGGAATAGTTCTGGAAAGATAAATTTCAACTATTTAAGAGTTTAAATTCAAGAGTTTTACCTAAAGACTAAGACTGACTAACCCAAAGTCAAAAAGAGTCATTTAAGAGGCTATACCGATCCAAACAGAAACTCAATAAGCAAAACTTATAATCCACAATACTAGAAGAACCGCACAATAAAATAACTTAGGCAAACACACACCATTCTATATCTAGTCTGCTACAGACATGGATTTTATAGTCTTAGATGGAGTAAAAAGGAAGCTTTTTGCTATTTCATTGTATATTGTGCATAATGAATTATGTACTAACCCAGGGGTCTTCAAACTCGGCCCTTTTATGTCTCATGGACTTCAACTCCCAGAATTCCTCAGCCAGGCACACTGGCTGAGAAATTCTGGGAGTTGAAGTCCATGGCATAAAAGGGCTGAGTTTGAAGACATCTGCACTAATCTGTCAGCAGATCCCAATTGCTTGAGTTATAATTGTTCCTCTTCCCCAAACTTGGACAGGTAACCTGCTGCCCTCAAGCTAATTTCAAAACCCTATTAAATGCAAAAGTCAGACCACATCAATCCAAAACAGTTTGTTCTTTCCTCCCTGGAAATTATTCTTCAAACCATTTTTTCCCTGTCTCCAGCCTCCTTCTTGCTGCGCAGGAAAGAAGTTGGAGAGAAAAAAAGTCCCCGACAGATGATCCACAAAGGGCATCATCAGGAATAAAGATTCCATAAGCCTGGTCTTCAACCTGGCTAACTTCTGCAACAAGAGTTCTGTCATGCAAAGGTCTCATTGAAGATAGAGAAGTGGAAAATTAATGCTATACCATGAATTTTAAATCAAACACCCCATGGTGCAAGTAAAGTGGTGTGGGTTTGCACTTGTATTTTTAAAAGTAGCATTATCTGGGAAAGTTCATTGTGGCATCCAACCGGTATGGAGCAGATCTGGCTCTGTAAACTTTAAAAGTTACAAGGACAATTAAAAGGAAGTATAACGTTTAGCAGACATGCTTAATCAGATGCTTACACCCTGTTTTCTCCTCTGTTTCTCTGGCTTCACATCATCTTCTATGATCAGTTCCATTCCAGCCTCACTCCAGAGTACTTCTTTCAAATCCTCTTCAAGATTAGGTGTTTGGGGCTGCAGTTTGTGATATAAAGTTGGGTGGGGAGCCAACAAGATGTGATTAATAGCAGAATCACGACTCAACATTTGGCATTTTGTTCTTTACCCCGAAGGAGCAGTTCTACCCATTTCTAAAATAGTAACTTTGCTCACAGATATGCATAAATTTTATCTTATTTATTCCTAAAGGGGCATATTTGGAGGAGGAAAAAAACTGATTTCCCAAAAAAGAGGGAGATAGAAGAAAGCACAAGAGCTTATTAGGTGGGATGGGCAGAATTATAAAGAGAAATTAAAGGGATTTATATTAAAATCTCCTACCTATAATAATTATTATTACATCTTAAAACCAAAGCAATCAACTTTTTTGATCATTGGCCTAATTTCAAAAACTTTTTGCAAATAATAAGTTCACGTTAATACCTTATTCTGAGAGCCCACCAGATGGGGAGATATGTGGAATTTTGGAAATGATCACAATGATCATTAGTCCTACTATAATAAGTAGGAAAATTATTGAAACCAGCCTTGAGAGAACATAAACATGGAGAGGAACCAAATTTAATTCACAACTGGAATCCGTTCCTTATTAGCCTTACACAAGAAACCATTTTTAGCTCCATTTCTTGAAGTATATTAGGGGACTATTACTCCAGGGGGGATATGAATCCATGAATTGGCTTAATACATACCAAAGGCCTTATTGGGCCATATTTCTCTAGCGCATTCTTAAAAGGAGTTGGCGTATGAGGTGTATTGTCTGCCGTATATTTCTGATCAGGAGTTACAAATCTGAAAACATAAATGCAGAAGAGTAAAGCACTATCATTTTTAAATCCAAGACTGGATTCAGGTAAATGACAAAAGAAACAGTCAGTGAAAGTACCGTATATTCTGGCGTATAAGACGACTTTTGAGAGCGATGAAACAGCCTCCGAACTCGGGGGTCGTCTTATACGCCGAGTCATAACGTTTATTTATTTATTTATTATTTCTGGCGTATGACGTCATTTCCGGCATATAAGATGATCGACACCGAGTCGCATGCCTAGAACGTCATCTTATCCGCCGGAAATAACGTTATAAACTACGTTTATTTCCGGCGTATAAGATGACTTTCTAGGCATGTGACTCGGTGTCGATCATCTTATACGCCGGAAATGACGTTATTTCCGGCGTATAAGATGATCGACACCGAGTCGCATGCCTAGAAAGTCATCTTATATGCTGGAAATGACGTCATTTCCGGCGTATAAGATGATCGACGCCGAGTCGCATGCCTAGAAAGTCGTCTTATATGCGACTCGGCGTCGATCGTCTTGCGACCCGGCGTCGAACTCGGGGATCGTCTTATATGCTGGGTCGCCTAATACGCCGGCATATACGGTACTATTAACTGTTTGGGACCTTAGCCTGAGTTGATTTAACTTATGAGGAGGCAGGCAGGACTGCCGACCCTAACACAGCATCCTCTATTAGTCCACGTCACCCAATGCATTTATATCTAAAGGATCTTTGTAAAGAAAACAAATGCTGACAATTTATGTATTTACTTATTAAACTTATTTACTGCCCATCTCACAGCAAGGCAACTCTTAAATCATTTGTAGTAAGATATTTCCAATGTGCATTTCATTTTAAAGCATACAAAAGTTCCTCTTGTTTCACTCTTATCTCCTGTATGCTTTGCCTAAATCTCCTATCACAAGGTGCAACTTTGGAGGAGAAAGATAGAAAGAAGACTTACACAGAGGTCTTCTGCAGTAGTGGGGTCTTGTCCCTGTGCAGTGGGGTTGTCACAATCACCTTCTGGCTGCAAACGGGTGTGGAAGTTAAGGAGGGGTTCTCCAAATCAAAAGTGTCTTGTTTTGTCCATAAATTCAGGAACTACATGGTAAAAGAAATTAATATTTTGTTTTTCATAAAGATAGAAGGGATCTCTCAAAGTAATTTGGTGGATGTTGCTGAGACAAGGTAACAGGATCGAGGGGAAAATGAAAATATTAATATAATTCCTCATCTTACAAGAACTTCAGGACTGAGCAGCAGGTCTGATCTGCAACATCCTGCTCATTCTCATACCTGCAAGATATAAATTCTACCATACTTTCACACAATGTATAATTTCAATCCTCAGCATCTCACTCTAGTAACTCTTTTTTGAAACCATGGAGATAGGTACAAATTTATAGAGAGCAGTGATCTGACTCACTATAAAGAAACCTTTTCTGTTCCTCATATGCAGCCTGTCACTTCTAAAATACCCTAAAATTCATCTCGCTTTCAATAGAAAGTACGCAAAAAGCAGAGGAAAGGGAAAAAGAAAAAAAAAGTCCTTTATCTTCATTTTAGGTTCCATTATATGTTATAATTACTGATGCCTTTACACAGCAGGTCACAGTGAGATCTGCTTTGTCTCTGTGCTAAAGTGATAAAGCCATCTGATGGTGAGTAGTTTATTCACAGAAATATTATAAAAATAGGAATATTGATCCTTATAATAAAAAACCTTTCCAGACAGCAGCCTCTAGAGCAGGGCTTTTCAACCAGTGGTACGGGTACCACCTGTGGTACACTGGCACCTGGCAGGTGGTACGCAAACATCCTAGAAAAGTGGTAGCGGGGGAGGTGAATAAGCTGAACCGGTGGCAGCGCCACATAAGCCTGAGCGAGAGATAGCTGGAGCTGCAGGGCTGTCAGGACTCAGCGGAAGTGCCAGGATCAGCGCCAGGCTCCAGCTGTAGCTCGGCGCTGATCCTGGTGCTTCTGCTGAGCCCACAAGAAGTGCCTATCAGCTGGAATGTTGCAGCATCTCCAGGGTCTTAGAGATTTACATTCAGATGCTTGGCATCTAATTCATATTTATGACGGTCACAGTGTCCCAAGGTCATGTGAAGTAACCAAAACCTGCTGCAACCACCCAGCAGATGGGAGAATACAAAACAAACACCTCCCACCCCACCCCACCCCCCATCCTCAACAGAAATGCTCACAATGCAAACCTCAGACAGGAGGAAGAGCACCACCAGGCAGGCAGGCGTCTTCCTCGGCTGTGCCTTGGGGGGCACTTTTTTCAGTGCCATTGTAACTTCAATCAGTCACTAAGCAAACTGTTGTAAGTCGAGGACTACCTGTACTTTATCACTTTTTTCCCTTTTTGGAGGGGGGGTCATCAAGTTTTCGACACCTTGCTAGGCGACTGGTGGTACTCAGATGTTGCCATATCCTAAAAGTGGTACTATGGGTGAAAAGATTGAAAAGCCCTGCTCTAGAGCTCACAAAAGGAAATTAGATTTGGGGCTTATTTCCATACATTGATGTGTTTCCCCTCCATACTAATCTGGAACAATTGGTATAGAGGACAACTGTTACTTAACCTTTGGCCTGTCTCAGGGAATGTTGTCTTGTTTCCCAGTTGGGTTCAAAAACTGCAAATAAGCCAAACTTTTTAAAATAGAGGGAGAATCCTCTAGGAAGGAATTGTTCCCTCTTCTTGGCCTCAGGCCTGGATTAAAAAGCTACAGTTCAATAGAAACACATTAACAATTCCTGGAAATATTATTTGAAACTCTGTCAGTCGGTATTGGATTTAATAGAATGGACCAAATCAACTTATGAATAAGAAAGAAAATATATTTTCAAATCATTTCTCTTACTTTTAGACATGGGAACGGAGGTAAAAGTATATGTGTAATCCAAAGCTAAATTTAAATTCCTATAGCTTTTAATACCAAATTCTGATTTTTAATTGATATCAGGTCTGCAAAGAATGCATTTTCAAATCTTAGAAACCGATATAAAGGAAGGCTCCCATATTGGCAATAAACCTGACACAGGATGTCAGTATGAAAGCACCTGGTAAGAGTTTACAACAACAACAAACATCCAATAGCATTTGTCTATGTTCCGTCATCTGTAAGCAAGATACTCAGGGCACTTTCTATCTTAAAATTTATTATTGAGGCCAAGCAAAAAACACCTAAGTTGCTAGTGTTGGACTCATGCATTCAAAAAAACTCAAAATTACAGAACAAGGCTGGAGAATAAATGCCTAACCCACTGGAATGGTAGGACTTCTAAGAAGTCTATACGGATTTTACATATAGAGAAAACCTTTTGTAAGCAGAATTTCAAAAGGAAGAATTTGAAAAATCAAACCCCAAATTGTCACTGAAGCTATTTTATCAGCCTTGCAGCCACAAGCGGTCTGCAAGTCCACACATCTTAAAAGTTGCTGATGTTGAGGAACACTTCTTAGAGGTAAACAAAACAAATTATGATGCAGAAGAAAACAGGTGCCCTAAAGTGAGAATCGGGCTCTGATGTAAGAGATTACTACAGGTAGTCCTTGATTTATGACGGTTTAATGACCATTCAAAGTTACAAGAGTACTTGAAAAATATAACTCGCAGTGGCACCCAAATTTGGGGGCACCAGGGACCGGTTCCATGGAGATTTTTCTGCAGACTGGAGGGGGTGTGGTTCCATGTGCTGCCTGCATCTCACGGATGGGGCTTTGCTTGTTTGCGCAGACTGGTTTCTGGCATGCTGCGGACCAGTGTCAGCCCATGAACTGGGGGTTGGGGACTCCTAGCTTAATGACTGCAGCAAAAATGTTGTAAAATTGAGCACAATTCATTTAATGACCACACTACTCAATGATGGAAGTTCCAGTCCCAACTGTGGCTTTAAGTCAAGGACTACCCATACTGTAGAAAAATTGCCTTGGCTTGCAAAAAAATTGCCATCTATTTCTGATTTTATCAGGATATAAGCATGCCAATTTCTAACAGAATGGTTTTGTGTATCATTTTCATCTCATATCAAGCTGAATTTTTTTTAAACTGATGCCCTGTGATACATTTACAACATCCAAAATTCCCAATCAGCTTGTCCAGTTTCTTGTCAATTAGCCATTTTAGCCAGCAATTCTGGAAGGTGCAGACTACATCAAATTAAAAAAAAAAAACCAGACAGGAAAAGATGACTGAAACAGCCCAAAACTCTATATAAATTATATATGGTAGTTACTGATGACTGTTTTCCATTACTCTGAATTCCCCCATTAAGCACACATTCCACCAAATAGAAACACGATGCTACCAATTGTCAAAATTGACCATTATGTCATTAAACAAAAGAGGGCACCTTGGCACAACTAGCCTTTATCTTGTTCTTTTTATCTATCTCATTGCCAGTTCACACCAACCTACCTGGGATGGAGAGAATGGCAGAGTTTTGACGGGGGTGCTTTTAACTGGTGTGCTCTTGGGTGTCATGCTGTTATAGGAATCAAGGAAGGAGAGATTTGTACTGGTGCCACCCTCTAAAACTGGTGAGAGACTAATTTTCCTCTTTTTTTGCCTCTTGAGCACAGCAGGGGGTGTGCCAAAGCTCACGTCTGTGCAAGGTGAAATCGGGATGAGTTCACCCTTGCTGCCTTTGCTGAGATCCGAAATGGTGTGGCCATCTAAACGGTACTCTGTAACATTCTGTGAAGAGCAGTAGGGTTTTATAGAGGCTTGCTTCTCCGGACTGTTGCTGTTACTTGCAGATAAATCATCAGGTAGGTCAAACTGGGAGAGATCACACCAGCCATCTGGGTCCTGCCAGAATAGGAATGTTCAAAATAAGATCCAGGTCTAAGACAAGACTGCAGACAATGAACACAGGAACAGGTAAAAGGTTCTGCTAATAGCTTTGGATTATGAGATGCTTTATTATCAGCAGCCAAAATCAATCCATAAACCTCTTATGGAAGATTATAGACCACTTTCCCACACTGCTTTAGCACCTGTTGGTAGATTTTGAGCACATTAAAGGCAACTGGGCCAAATCACCCAGCCGGCTTCTCTGTAAAAGATGTAGAATCTGGATTTTCCCACTCATAATCCAGTACCTTAAACATTATATCACACTCAGCTTATGGAAATGGATATAACCAGTGGTCACACATAAATCAGCAAATCACCAATAAATCACAAAACATTTAAAATCAACTCAAAATCAGCAAAGATATATGTATAAGATATTCAAAGATACATTTACACAAAGGTTAAGCCATACAAAATGGAAATTAGATTCACTACAATATGTATCATCCACTGAGCCCCCCTCCACCAAAAGGACTGTTTCCTTCAAATAATCTTTCCTGCCGCATTCTCCTTCTACCCTTGCTTATGTAGTTCACTGGTTTTCAAATTTGGCAACCTTAAGATCTATACACTTGTAATTCCTTTGCTAGCTGCGGAATTCAGGGAGTTAAAAGTCCTTAATTTGAAAAACACTGATGTAGTTTATCAAAATATTCAATTAATTCATTTCTTACAGATTCAATCATGTCCAGAGCTTCTGAAATAGCTGGGGCTGCAGCAGTACACAAATAATTGCCTTCAACCACCCATGTACATGCAGAACTCCCATCCAAAGGATCATCTGACACCATGATTTCTGATGCTCCATTGACACTGGGCTCCACTAGGTTTTCAAGCACTGGCTCAGATGGCAACATCTGCAGGTCTGCTGGCTCTTCATCAGCAACTTCTTCCTTCTTTACTTCCAAAGTCTGCACGGGCCAGTTGGTCAAAAAATGCTGCTGTGAAAGATGAGTGAAGATTTGTATCACTATAAACAAAAACATGTTCAAAGTTGTAGATTGTAAAATCAGAGGTAGGAAGAACACAAATAAGACCTACCTTCTTTTTATCAAATACAGAAAACATTTTTGTAAATCCAGATGTTGGATTTCAACTCTGTCACCACCAATATGGTCAAAACTGATAGCAGCTTCCTATCATATTTCTGAAGCAACAGTTACTTCAATTATTTTAATTTAGTTTTCTTTCTTGCATCCAAATTCACCTCCCTCCCCAGTCCTTTACAGAACTAAGTCTTGCAAAAAGAAAGATTATATCCAAATCTCAGCATTCTGGAGATAAAATATTCCATTCTACCTGGAAATATTCTGCTTTCCCCCCAAAAATGTAATCATTTAGAAATTCTGAGCATAGCTTGTAGTTTTCTGGAATAATTCTTCAAGAAGACAAAGTGATTTGTGATGTTCCAAGCGTGGCCATTCATACCATCAAAAATACAAAATATTCCAACAGTACTTTACAATTCTATCCCTAGAAATGTTGCATTTTGCACATCCATATTTCATCAAGCACTATGATACATAATCTTCAAAACAGTTTGTTATTCAAACGTTCCATAGGCAGCTAAAAGATAAATGTTTTGCACTACCTGATTTTCCCCTTCTGGTGTATTTTGTCCATCCCTGCCTTCCACCTCCACCAGCAAATAAAGGGGTTTGGATTCTTTTGCTTCATTAAGAAAGCCTCCTGTGTCCACCTTCCTTTTGATTGTTGAATTCCAATGGTTTTTCACAGCATTATCAGTCCTTTAAAAATAAACAATAAATGCATGCACCATCAGCCAGGAGAAGCAGCAGCAGCAGCAGCAAGCACTGCTATTCTGAAAGAAGGCTGCTTTTTAAACATACCTTCCAGGCAGCAGCTTGGCAATCTCAGCCCAGCGGTTTCCAAGTATCTTGTGAGCCTCACAAATTATGCGGTCTTCCTCTTCTGTCCAGGATGATTTCTTGACTTCAGGGTTCAGGTGGTTGTGCCAACGTTCCCGACATTGCTTTCCTAGACGGCCTTTCAAATGCTTGGCTATGAGAGTCCATTGCTTTGTGCCATATTTTTTCACCAATTCAATGACCTCATCACAAAAATAAAATGGCTACATTTAGTTTTGTTTACTGGATGCACTTTTGACCCTTGACATTCAGCCATTATACAAGGATCCATGTGGAAAGATGCAGTTAAGCAGGGCCATGCATTTCTGATCCACTCTGGGCGATGTTTGCCTAAAGCTTCTCAAATAGTGGGGCGCGCCCCCCAGGGGGGGCGCGAGGCTCCGTAAAGGGGGGCTTGTTTGACCTCGGCAAATACTGTCATATTGGATTTCTAGATCGGATCATCCGACTCACTCGCAAGCGGCAGCCCGACGCGGAGGACAACATGACCGCCAATGCATGTGACACATGCAAAGGACCTGATTGGACAGACATGATGCTCTATCCTGATTGGCCAAACCCGCCCGTGTGACTTTTAGACCCGGAAATCGGTCCTCTGTACAGAAAATTTTTTTTTACAGTCGCGCGGGGGGCGCGAAATGTTTTCTTCTTCCTAGGGGGGCATGACAGAAAATAATTGAGAAGCACTGGCCTAAAGACACTCATTTTTGTTTTTAGGCTCTCTTTAGAACTGGAGAAACCAATCCAACTTGAGGATAAGGGTTTAATATTTTGAAGGGGCAAAATCAGCATTTTAAGCCCCGTAAGGGATTTCAAGGCATAACTCATTATCAAAACTAAAAAAAAAACTTTTGCCCAATATTGGGGATATGATGGAGGCTACAAAAGGAATCTTGGAGAGCCCAGATAGTTCAAACTGCAATAAATCTTTGGGTTCTCTATTATACTACTTGCTTGCGAATAATGCCCAGCAATTCCACCAGTTGGGTTCATACTGAAGTTCCCTATCACAAAGAAGATAGCATTTCAACTCCTCAGCTCCAGAAGTAACTACTAAACAATGAATTACCTTCTGATCTTCTTGTTTAGTCCAGGGGCCTTTTACAAGAACAGGATTTAGCACTCTTAGCCAACGATACTGACATTGCTGTTCAGTGCGGTTCTATGAGCAAATTTAAATATGTTTATGTTAAATGAAACAGTAAGACAGACAGAAATAAAAATCAAAAGGAACAGAGACATACGTTAGCCTTTAACCAGCAGTTAAATTTCTGTAAATTTGGCTTCCTATTGTTTCTGTTGATAGGGAAAACAAGAAGAAAACCTACTCAACTGAAAAACTCCACTTACAGCAGCGGTTCTCAACCTATGGGTCGCGACCCCATTTGGGGTCGAACGACCATTTCACGGGGGTCGCCAAACAGCACTGTCCGCCATTTTTTCCCCTTTTCCCTAGATGTGCTCTTTATTCCCTCCTCTTTGCACATGCGCAGCTTTTTCCAATATAAAGTTAGGAAGTTTCGGTTTCAGAGCATGTGGCAGAAAGCAAGAGAGAGAACAAGCAAAAGCGGTAAGTTTTGAGCACGTTGATTCTTCGCCCTGCTTTAATTATTATTTTTTAAAAGGGGAAATGGGGAGAGAAGGGCGGGGGAGGGAAGGGGGAGAAAGAGAGAGATCTGGTTTTACAGAAGCAAAGGGAAAAGAAGGGGCGAAAGAAAAACCTTGGCTCGATTGGAGCAGGCTCGGTCCATTTCTCGGGCTGCCCTGGCCGGGGCGGAGTGGGGGGGAAGAAGGGATAGGTGCAGTTTCCGCTCGGAGCCAGCCGAAGTTGGGCTGGGGTTGGGCGAAGGAAGAGTGCCGAGGGCCGATGCGGAGGGTCAGAGGTGAAGGGGGTGCGCTGGGTCTAACCCTGAGGGCTGCGGAGGGAAGCGGGGCGGAAAGTGGAAGGAAGAGAGGGGATGGGTTGCTCGCGCCTGGCGGGGCTCTTTCTGGAAGGAAACCCGCGTAGAGGGCTGTCTCCGAAGTGGTGCGGGATTACGTTCTTGTGGTGAGTGGCAGCGAAGGGCGGGCGGTGAATCCGGGAGGACCCTCGAGCGGAGCAGGTGGTTTTCTTACCTCCGGTGGGTTCAGACACCCCTGCGCCCCTTCCTCCCTTGTTTGCTTGGAACGAGGGGGCAGCAGCCACCCCGAGTCGCTCATCCCAGCCCTGTCCCACTTGTAGATTGTTGGCCAGACCCCCGCCCCGCCCGCCTGCCTGGCGGGTCTGTCTGAAAGCAGCAAAAAACTTTGCTGCAACTCAGCGGCTGTGCCCGGTTTGCTGAGCGCCCACGTGAACTTCCGAGTCTCCGAGGAGGAGGAGGAGGCAGCGGCGGACTGAAGAGACATGGTCACCATCCTTGCCGCCTCGGTCCTCCGCTTCTTCCTCTCAGAACTGGTTCTTCCCGGCGGCCCCTCTCGCCGTGGGAAAGCCGAGCCCGGCCCGGTCATCTCTCAGGGCGCTACCTCGTCGGCGCTCGGGAGCCCCATCCCCCTCCCTCCCGTGATGGCTGGGATGGCGCTTCCTTGCTCCGATGTGGCGACCAGCATTGGAACGGCGGTCGGCAGCTGCGGGCTCCGTTGTGTGTCACCCCCCCCTGTGAATGGCAAGCCCCGTGGGGCTTGACAGTGGTGTTGCTTTAAGAAAAAAAAAATATTCCCCCCGACCCATCCCCCCTTTTGCATAGCAATAAACACCACAATAAACATTCTCATGCTTTGTTTCCCTCCCATTTACTCGATAAATATTAAACATACACTTCCTGCCTCATGCTGGCTGAAGGGCAATGTTTGAATAAGGCTGTGGAAGATGACTATAATCAAAAATCAGAAAGAAAAGGAACTCAGGGAATATTTCCAGTCCGTGTACACTAAGTTGCTAAGTGAAACGGTGATTATACTTAAGATCATACTTCAGCTTTCCTTTGCATATTTGTGAAAATTGTAAATGCAATGATTGGTCATAAAGTTACTTTTTTATCACAATCTTAATTGCAAATGGTCACTAAATGAGGCACTCACTAAATGAGGACTACCTGTACCTAAAAAAGTCAAAAGGGACACTTTAAAAAATAAAGATTTTACAGGCAACAGCAGTACCTGAGCAATCTTGCCTAGGGACCACAAAAAAACCCCTGGCCTAGTTAGGATGGAATTCTACCAGAGTCCAGACAATGTGGTACAAAACCAAACCAAACCACAAACACATCCTTGCTGGGATTCAGTTTAAGTCTATTTCTCCCCATCCAGAACTGGGCCTTCAGGATCTGGGTCAGGTCTCCACCTCATGAAGATCTATAATAGAGTAACATTGGCATCATGATGACTCTTTCATGCTGGCAGATGAGCTCTCCCAATCCCTTCATGTATAGTTGTACTTTTCAGTCTCTGCAACTTTAAATGTGTGCATTTCAATTCCCAGAATTCCCCAGCCAGCATGTAGATTGGGGAGACATCCTATAGCAGAGCTCCCAAGAACCAACGTCTCCTTTCTCCACCTGCTTAGGACAGAGAAGAAACACTACAAAAGACAGTGTCTCCCATTTCCAGGCCTTCCAACTATCCCAGAGGGATAGTCTCCAAGATCCCTTGTACAGGAAAGAAAAAAAAAAAAACCACAAGAGTTTTCTGGCAGCTGAACACAAGGGATTATAAAATGGACCATAAAACAAATTGCATGGATATGGTAATTAATGTCACTGGCTTACATGTTCTCATAACAAGTAGCATATCTCTGAAATTATTACACACTGAGAAACTGAGAAACATATCCCTTCGCCTGAGAAACATATCCACATGTGTTTTTCTGAGAGCTATTATGGTTGTGGCCACTTGGCGGCCACGCCCACCTGGCGGCCACACCCACTTGGCCACCACGCCTACCTGGCCACCACGCCCATGCCCCTGGGGGTCACCACAACATGGGCAACTGTATTATGGGGTCACGGCATTAGAAAGGTTGAGAACCACTGACTTACAGGAAAATGGCTTGCTAGGAATTTCCAGTCATGTCCAAACTGTGTCACCAGTGAATTCAACAGCTCATCCTAAAAAGAGCAAGACTGTTAAGGATATGTCACAACCTAACACAAAATAAGAAACAGAATCTTGAATTTTTATGTGATTTGCTACCCTTGGGTATAGCAAGTTACACTGCTATCACAAAGTATACAATGCAGCAGAAATAGCACATAGGATCTCGTAGAAGCAAATACTTTGTCTAAATGGCCAACTCTGATGTATGGAAAAATATAAAACCTCAATTGCCCTATGCCCCTTCAAGAACTTTCAAGATCCCAGTACTTGATTATCCACCCCCAGATTATACAATAAATCTTACAGAAATTTGATTCATATAATGCAGGGATTTTATAACAGGAAGCAGAAAAACTGGATAGGTCTATATAATTTATCAGGAACTAAATGCCTACTTAACTTTTGCCCTGGGTTTCACTTCATAGACAAATATCCAAAATGGAGATTAAAAACTTAAGCTTCAAACAGAAAGAAATACAGAACTCTGGCAAACATTTACTATCCAAAGAGCTAACTAATAAATGCATCTTTGGTACTATAGATAATCCTTGATTTACAACCAAAACTGGGACCAGAATTTCTATTGCTAAGCAAGGTGATTGTTAACTGAGGCATGCTAAATTTTATGACTTTTGCCAGTTAGTGAATCACTGTAGTTATTAAGTAAATCATAATGATTGTTAAGTGAATCTGGCTTCCCTATTGAATTTCTTTGTCCAAAGCCAGCTAAGTCACAAATGGTGATCATGTGACCTCAGACACCGCAACCACCATAAATACCTGCCAGCTGCCAATTGCCTGAATTTTAATCATGTGACCTTGGAGATTCTGCAAAAGTTTTAAGTGTGAGGATCAGTTATATGTCACTTTTTCCAATGCCATTGTAACTTTTGATGGTTGCTAAACAAAGAGTTGTAAGTTGAGAACCACCTGCTTTTTTTACTTATAATTTGGTCAATAACAAGACCTGTCTGAGTTCAGCAATGTACTGGTTTATGAGAATGTTAAGCCTGTTTTCCATTTACTAATTCAAAAGCAGGCTAGTTCTGTTTATTTACTATATTTATATCCAAAGTTGTCAGTGGATCTTTTCTTATGCTTTCACCTCCTACAGAGGCTCACACCTGCTTGGCCCAAGACCAGTGGTTCTCAACCTGTGGGTCGGGACCCCATTTGGGGTCGAATGACCATTTCACGGGGGTCGCCAAACAACACAGTCTGCCATTTTTCCCTCCTTTTCCTTAGCTGTGCTACTCCCTTTTATTCTATTGGCTTTTGAAAGCCAATAGAATAGACTCTCTTGAATAGAGTCTAATTCTATTGGCTTTCAAAAGCCAATAGGAATTGTCCAGGCTGTCTCTGCCCTGCTGAGCCCGCCAAAAAGTCCCATTCTGCAAACGGTGCTGCACCAGTTGAGTAGTCCTCGACTTACGACCGGTTGAGTAGTCCTCGACTTACGACTGGTTGGGGGGTCGCGGCATTAAAAAGGTTGAGAACCACTGCCCAAGACCAATCTCCCTGTTTTTCTTTATGAATAACACAATACTTCTTCATATACGTATTATTCTTGTGAAGAATAATACATACTTCTTCACGAGACCACTTGACTTTACATCTGTTATCCCTTCGATCTGTCATATCTGAATCCTGGTAAAGCAGTTCTTCTTGCTCTTCACTACTATAAACAGGTTTTAAAGGAGAAATGTTATAATTAAGCATTTACTACAAATACTAATTCATTTCTATCTAGTTTAGCAACATTCCAGCAAAATCTTCACCTGTTCTTCAAATCACTTTACACAGATTGGTATTCCTATACACTGGACTAACCCATACACTGCACTGGAAGCCAAAGGGAAAATAAAATACATACACATTCTATAGCCATCCTGACATTTCAAAATATCTTCACAATGAAGCTTTAGAAACACTGATCTCATTTGTAAATCTGTCAGTTCTCTTCATGCTTGGAATTTTCTCTTTGGAAATTTGCCAAAGTCCATGCCTGAACAGCTTACAGCTTCCTATATTTTAACTTGCTTTTCATAACCAGAAACAGGGTAAAAATATTGACCTGCCCAGAGTCCTTGCAACAGCCTGGGAAATAAGTCAAATTCATACCTATCATGAGATCAGTAGCTAAGATATTTGTTTAATTTGAGAGCTTGAAACTGAGCTCTTCACATTAGAGTCTAATATGCTAAATCCCTAGTGAGAGCATTTAACTCCTTGGGATTTTAAAAAAATCTTGACTCCATCATTACAGCACCTCTTGCAGGCAGAGTTCTTACTATCATTTTGGTTTCAACTGCTTTTTTTTCCACCATTTCATCAAAACCCTAAAACTGTTAACTTGAATCTAGTTGCCCCAGGGCAGACCTTATTAAGGTCATGAGCTAAGGCAACATTTTCACTCAGGAGTCACTCTTTGGGGCTGGAAGGAGAAGTAACCAGGTTTGGAGAGCACTTCCCTTCTCAACCCCGAGCAATGTTTCCTAGACAAAAAGGGCCCAACCTATTTTTCTCTCCCTCCCCTCCCCCCAGCCGCAGCCTGGAGGGAAAAAAAGGTTCCTCTTGCCGCCCAGGCATTTCACGAGAGCCATTTTAAGCTCCCCTCTCCCCAGAAGCGCCCCCCCTCCTCCCCAGCAGATTGGAAACCTATGGAAACATCTGCCACGTTTGCTCCATAAGTTCATTCTCTTCATGACCCACGGACGGGAGGGGAGGGGGGATAAATGGACGAAACAGAGCAAGCGCTTTCGGGTTGGGGGGGGGGGAGAAGAGGAAGGTGGGAATTGGCTACAAAAAAGGCGGGAGGGAGAAGGACCCCCCGTCTTCGTAGCCCTCCCAAAATGCATGGGCTTCCTGCGACTCACCAGCGAGCCCGACGAGACATTCTGCTTTGCAGCTCTGCAGGAAAATCATAAAACAAGCCAGAAGTTATCAAATGACTTGCTTTAGCGAAAAGAGCCACCGGGACCCGATGGGCTTGCCACCACCGCCGCCGCCGCCAGGGCTGCGGAAAATGCCGCTCAACCTTCCCAAAGCAGAACGCGCTTAGCCACTCCGGCGCGACTGCAGGCGCGCTCACTAGCTCCCGCCCGGGAGCTCCAAGCAGACTTTCCTATCTCGCGCCAACGCCGCCTCAACCAGCCACCTTTTCCGGCGTGATGACGCTCCTGATGACACGTGACCAAGATCAGAGTTAATAGGAGGGCGGAGAGCGGGCTGGGAGAAAGTGGCGCGCGCGGGCAAGTTGGAGTTTTTGTATTTTCCTTTAAGAAAGAACCAAAACATTCCTGCAATGCTTGAAAAGTAGTAGCAAAGTAGTCAACCATGCATCCCTTCAAGTAAAAAAGGCAAAAATTCGCGGGGTAGGTGGGTGTGTGTGTGTGTGTGTGTGTGTGTGTAAAAAAAAAAAAAAAGATTGCACTCAGTGTTCTCAGAGGAGCTGAAAAGCTTTCTGGACGGAGCTCCTCCCTTTGCTGCGTCTCTGCAGGAAGCGCAGGAGAGAGCTAGCTAGCCCAGCTAGGCTGACTCAGGAATTCTGGGAGTTGAAGTCCATGAGTCATAAAAGAGACAGAGGTTGCTTACTCTGAGCTTGTTGGACAACAGCTTGAAGCTTGCCAGGTGAGCAGCAGATAGGAGAGAGAGAGGGAGGGAGGGAGGGAGGGAGGGAGGGAGGGAGGGAGGGAGGGAGAGAGAGAGAGAGAGAGAGAGAGAAAGAAAGAGAGTGGGGGAAGAGGAGTGGTAAGCAGACCAAGGGCAGATAGAGAGGGAGGGAGAGAGACAGAGAGAGAGAGAGAGAGAGAGACCCTTTTGACATCTAAAATGAAGGTAACACTGCATATATCCTTTTTTTACCTGTATGTGTATGTGTATGTATGTGTATATATATATATGTGTGTGTGTATATATACATACATACACACACATATACACACACACAAACACACACACACCTATAATAAAGGTAAAAAAGGATATATGCAGTGTTATCTTCATTTTAGATATCAAAAGGATTTTGCGGCTCCCGGTGTTTTGTTTTTGGTGGGAAACGGGTCCAAGTGGCTCTTTGAGTGTTTTGGGTTGCCTACCCCTGCCCTAGACTTACAACAGTTTCATCAATGATTGTTCAAAGTTTAATAGCACTGTAAAAAGTGACTGATGACCATGTTTCACATTTACGACCATTGTGGCAACTCAATGGTCATGTGATCAAAATTCAGATAAGGAGAAGAAGAACCATATGCTTGGTAACTGGTTCATATTTATGACCATTGCAGTCTCCTTGGGTTATGTGATCATCTTTTGGGACCTTCTGACAGGCAAAGTCAATGGGAAACCAGATTCATTTAACAACCGTTAACAACTGCAATGATTCACCTAACAGTGGCAAGAAAAATCGCAAAATGGGGCAAAGCTCACTTAACAAATGTTTCAACTTAGCAACATAAATTTTGGGCTCAATTGTAGTCGTAGGTAAAGGACTATCTGCAGTGATGGGATTAAAATATGTGAACTACGTTCTCTGTGTGGATGCCACGTCCTGAAGTCCATTCTGGGCCTGGGCAACAAAACATTAGCTACCGGTTGTGCCGAACTGGTGCAAACTGGCTGAATCCCACCACTGACTACCTGAACCTTCAGTTACCTGAGTATAAGGTAACTGTAAATTTTTGAGTATTCTGGAACATTTCATTAAGCAATATTCATAAAAAGATACTTGTAACTGTTATTTCAGTAAAGCAATGGCTAGTCTTCAAAAACAAGTATGTAGCACTTATTAATGCTAAATAATTGGTAAACACTGTCCTAAGCCTATTAAAAAAATGGTAGACTACCAACTGCTGCCTCCACTCATCTTGTGCTGGGGGGGGGGGTGTTGATGGGAGCTTTATCATTTACTATATTTTTCTGTAGCTGTTGCTTTTAAAAATGGGTGTCTTTCAGGGGGGAGAGGTTTAATGCAACACAATGAATAACATGTCATATTTTGCAAACACAGTGTGTATGGTTCTGCAATATGCTAACCCAAAACCCAAAACCACATATTAGTTTAATGTGTTGTGTGAAACCAGGCACAGGGTTCACAATCACCTGATAGAAGAAATTATGACATCCCATTTCCCAAATAATACAAATTATGTCATTTGAGTAAATAACATGATTTATATCATTTACATGATGGCATCTTATCCATGTAGTATCACTTGCCCTCCCTAGATGCCTCCCTGTAATAGTGGCTCAGAGAGTACCATGGGCTCCCGAGTTTGAAGCACAAGATCCATATAAAAGGGAAAATAGAAATGGGCTTGCTGTTTCAAGATACTTTAAGGTGTACTTTTAACTTTGTAGCTGAACAGGAAATGCAAATTGTAAATCTATTCAGATTCGTTTTGATGGTTTCGCTTACAACACTGATTTTTTTTTTGTTGTTAAAAACTAACTCATTTTTCAGTATCTCTTATTATCTTCCTCATTTGGCACCAGCATATTAAAAAAATAAGTTCTCTTCATTTTCTAGACCATTAAAATATTTTCAAAGAATGCACGTTGCAACTTTTCTGACTCTCCAGAATTAAGTCATGTAATTTGGATTTCTACATTTAAAAAATAAAGTTCCTGAATAGGTAATTCTATTTAAGGTCCAATGTGGTTTGTTTGGTTTTAGTCTAGTATGAGGACCTTTCTATAAGCTTAATTCTTAATTACTTTACAGCAGTGTTTCTCAACCTTGACAATTTTAAGACATGTGGACTTCAACTCCCAGAATTCCACAGCCAGCAATTGAAGTCCACATGCCTTAAAACTGTCAAGGTTGAGAAACACTGCTTTACAGACTGAGCCAACTTTATTTTAAAACAAGACTTTATTTTAAAAAATTACCACAATATGTGAATCCAGTCAATATTACCTTAAGGTCACAATATCACAATTAAAAATAAAATTTTCAGTGTAAGAGGGTAAACTTAAAACCTTTGAATACAGAATGATATCATATATCAATAAAAAGCATTTTCTTTTTTAAAGCAATAAGATCAATATTCTTTTTCACTCTACCATGTAAATGTAATTCCTATTCTCCAGCATGATTGGATGGAGAACCCACGGATGGGTTGTCTTAATCTATCTGCTCCAATTAGACTACGTCTGAAATTTAGTACTGCCCCCTCTGTGCCAACTGCACCCCAGTTTTAGACTTAGTCTCTTTGCTCTAAGACGTGTTTTTTCTTCGCTCCTGGAGCAGAAGACTGTGTATTTCCATTTTTATTTCTTTAGCTTAGGCTAGCCCATTTTATTATTAGATTTGACAATATAAAAAAATTTCTTTTTTCCAAGGACCATCATCCCCAGCCTGTAGCCTAGCAGGCTGACAGGCTCACAGACCTCTCCCTCCGGGGTGTGTGTGTGTGTGTGGAACCTTCCCTTTTTCCTTTTTTTTTCCTCTCTTGAAAGCTTCCAGCCTCAAAGAAATCAAGCCCAAAATCAAATTCCCAAGGGAGCTTAGATCTCCTACCAGGGGCCGTTCCTCTGCTTCAGAGGCTCCGTTTTTGCCAAACGCTGCTCCGATGAGCTCCCTGCTGCCAGCTGATCGTTGGAGGACGCGGATTCTACATGCTGACTGCCAACGGCTCCGGACGCAAGGGTAAGCTTACCAATTGACTGGGGAGCTCCGCAAGCGACGACGAGGCTCGTCAGGCCTGGAGGGAGCCTTCCTAGGTCCCTCGGCCCCAGCAGACCGCCCCAAGCAGCAGGTGAGAGTTTTGGGCACCTACCCAATTTCGGAGCCTGGAGGGCCTACCAGGTCTCGGACTGCCTCAGCGTCTCCCAGCTGGCCTATTTACCTACCATCCGCTGCACTAGGAGCCCAGGCGATTCCTCGGAACGAGGGCTCGTTGCAGCTTAGGCCCCAGGCCTCAAGGCCTTCTTCTAACGGTCGTGTTTTTGGCGCGAATTTGGCGGCCGCCATTTTGAATTGACTCTCGGCGGCCATTTTGTATGTGACTGAGGCCCAGACTGCCTGTAGCTCACTCCTGAGGGCAGTGTATGACCACCTGAGGCAGAAGCCTCGAAATTTAACTACATCATCTCCACAGACGGATTGGACTGGGGAGGGCCAGCTCGCTCCTGAGGGACGCAGTGCCTACCAATCCCCTTTGCCCACCCCCCTCACGGGCCGGATCATCCCTGCGGGCTCCCTTAGTAAACTTACAACGCCGAGGGGGGGCGTTTTTGCTAAGGTTGAGCCCAAAGCAGGTTCGTCATGGCCCACCCCCCTCACGGGCCGGATCATCCCTGCAGGCTCCCTTAGTAAATTTACAACGCCGAGGGGGGGCGTTTTGCTAAGGTTGAGCCCAAAGCAGGTTCATCATGGCTGAGAAGCCCACCAACGAGCCGGCCAAGAGGAAACATCAAGCAGAGGCAAGTGAAAAGACCACCACCAAGCGAGCCAGGGCAAGCAGGGAAACCAATAATCCACAGGTGAGGGAGGAGGAGTCCCAGAGACTGAGAGCAGCCTCCCCAGGTCAGCCCCAGGGGCCTGGTCTCCCCCCAGGGGAATTCCCCAATCAGAATCAGCCACAAG